ATATATATATATAGGCTATATACACAGACACCAAACTACTAATAACTAACTAAATAAAGTAAGAAAGCATTAAAGTGATACATGAGGCTGCTGTCCAGAGGAGTTCCTCACACGGCCGGTCTGACTGTGTACTGAAAGCATCCATGATGTTGAGTTGCATGGCCACGCCCCCTTTATATATTAACGAGCGCGTCTGTGATGACGTCGCGGCGGCGATTTGGCCAATCCCGTGCCGAGACACGTGTTTGGGTGGTGACGTCGGACAGTCCACGTGAGGGGTGCGTTTTGGTACTAGTACGGTGCTTTTAAGTGCTGTTGTAAATATGAAAGCCGGACCCTGTTGCACATGGAATGACTGATACATTAGAGATGTTGTTCTGTCTTTACAAATATTTAATTACTTATTTACTTATTTATGAAGTAAATCTACACTACAGATATGACAAATACAATATAGGTAAATATGCATAATGCACTTATGCAGATTTTGTCTCTGCAGGCTGTCCAGCAGTGGAAATGAATGCTTTGACCTCATTTAAATTTATTTATTATTTATAATATGATTTATTTTTTAATAATAATTATGTATTATTATATCTATTTTTTTGCAGGAGAACTGCACTGGTTTAAAATAACAATTGATTTTACTGCAGTGGTGTGGAGATCAATACAGGCTATAATTTACAGATGTTGCCAGGGCCCAAAGCTGCACAAACTGAAGGGGCTGGTAAAATGGTCTCTCTGACGCCGTGTTCATGGACAGACGGAAAAACTAACTTTCTACTAGAAAATGGTTAAAGGGCTATGTTACCATGGAAAAAAAGTTTAGTGTGTGGCAACTTTTACGTGTCACAAAAAACTGTTAGGCCTGATATGGTGATACATCCCAACATCATAACCTTCCTAAACTATTATATTCACAAGAGAATAATAATAAACTTTATTTATATAGTACCTTTCAAATTGTACAGTTAACAAGTGCGTTATATAACAGGAATTAAACATTAAGAACCATAGCACCATCAGTAACAATATATAGAATAAGCAATAAACACTATCATATACAGCAATAATGAAAATAATAGATAAAACAATAAAAGACAGTAAAACCACAGTGAATAAAAGGTTAGATAGGAGGATCACAGGAAGGTTGATATAAAAGTGTGTTTTAAGAAGACACGTAAAAAAAGTTATGAATTTATGACCAAATAAACACATAATTTTTTTCTGATCACCACTTGCAAGAAATATGCTGGGTTTTGAGCTTGTATATTTATTTCCCCCACTGATTTGTGTCACCAGCTGATGGGTTCCTCACAAAAAGACTATAATAACATGTTCCACGTGTAACAGAACACCTAAATTATTTATTTTGTATTGCTGAAACATATATTGCCACTAAAAACACAGCTATTCATGCTGTGCATTTTGTATATACTGTCATAGCCACCTATCTCATGTATTATTATTCTAGCATCCTTTGCATTCTGCTCTATTGCACTGTGTACAAACGTTATATGTTATTATTGTTTGTGTGTATATACATTTGCACATTTTCAATTAAATTCTATTCAGTTTTATTTGTA